GTTGTATTAAAACAAAAAAGGAAAAACGAACACGTAAATGAAACACGCATTTTTCTAATATTATTTATTGAATAATTTATCTTTTAACTTATTATATTTTTCACAGCTTTCTTCTGCATTCTCGGCAATTCTTAGCTACGTTTTTTTAGTGGCACAACCTTATGAAAATTTTCAAGGTAATCACATTTTTTTTAAAGAGGGCACTGATATTTGCATACCTTTTTATATACATATTTAAGGTTTTCTAAAATTTCAGTTGCCTTTGGCCAGAAAGAATAATGCTCTTTTCCTTTATGCTTCTTTTGTTTATCGATGCTCCATTGACACTACCAAATAATTGGTCAAAGAATGAAACAACTTCAGCTGTATTTCTTAATGTTGTACTGACGGGCCTGCCATCCACATAAGTTGCTGCAAATTAAAATATTCATATAATAATTGTATGAAACTTGATTCAAAACTATTAACTAATTAATTTCATCTAATACTCACAGAAATTTAACTTTATGCCGCCATCATGTATTTCTGTATCCCAAAGGTTGACTGGTAGAGAATGCTAATAGCATTAAGTCCGCCTTTTGTACCAATTCAATGGTCAATAAAGTTTGTTAAATAAATAAATAAATTTGCAGTGTAAGACAAAGCTGCAGACATATTTTTACACAATTTTTTACCTGCAAAAAGAGATATCATGTTTAAAATTATCTTCATTAGAGAATCATTATTGTGAGTTTACACTTAAACTATATTAACTACTTGTTACATAATTAAAAATACAGGTCATTGAATCAACACTTGTTCTGATAGAGAATATAGAAGCTGAATACAAATTATTTCTTTTATTTATACTAATTGAAGTTATACTAATATAATAACCAATGCATTACCTTCATCATTTTATCAGGTATAACTTATTGGTCATTTAATTTATGACGTAGCCCAGCTTCAGTGTGTTGACAATCTGTCTCATAGACATAAATAATATCATGTTATATTATTAAATTTTAATTTTAAACAATATTAAATTTTTTGTTAAAAAATTGTTCCTGATACATTTTATCAAGTGTGTTGAATCATAATGTTCAAATCCACCCCACATATTTTAAGAATCCAACTGAAACAAAAATTTAAGAACTTCTTAAAACATAGATAACAATATAAAAATAAGAACCTTCACTACTTTCATTAAATCTATTAGTTTTCTTTCATATAAATATAATTCTCTGTACCAACCTGAGATTTCAATTTAAAATTTGATTACACTAAGTGTCTTCTTTTAGATTTTTGAGTGCTGATTGGAAAGCTGAGCCTTGGTCATATATTATTGCGATGGGATTAAGGTCCAATTCAACAACTTTTTCTACTACTAACTTTAAAATATTCTTGATGTACAGTAGATGTCGCTCCTTGACAGAAATACTAACATAAAGGCTGTTGCCACTTGTAAATAGCACCCACATAAATACAAGAGTATGATCTGCAAAATCCACTTTCTTTTCTTGGTGTTCTACAAATCCATTAATATTATCTTTAATCCTTATTACTTTTATTATACGAAAGCGCTTTTTCTAATGACATCTCATCAAATATGATGGAGCATATTTTTTTGGAGTTTCATTTGTCCACCTGAAAAAGTAAATTCAAATAGGTAGCATATTATTATTTTGTAGTAATACAAAAAATTATAAAAGTAGTATGAAAAACCTTATATGGAATATATTTACCTCTTACATGAAGCCTGGTTCTATGATCAATTTTCTAATCATAGTATTCAGTGTAGTTTTGGATGATAAAATAAAAAATTTTGCTTAAAAATCAATAACACTTTGGACTCTGCTTTGATATTGATAAAGCAATTATCTTTTCTTTGGTAGTGAATCACCTCTCATGTTTATTTTTAGAGCACATGCTCACTTGAATTTCAAAAACATTTTTGCAACTGTGTTCATTTTTTGTTGGAACTTTTCAAATGATAACTTTTTACAATACTTAAAGGTATTTAAGTATTCTTAATTTATGATAAAAGTTCAACTACGTATTTGGCTTGTTATATATTTCATAAATTCTCTGGTATAAAGGTGACAATTGGCTTTATTTGGTAATAAGCCTTTTCCTTTTTGTTTGGGTACATTTCACAGGGTCTGTAACATCAAAAGTATTCAGTGAATTTCTCTATTAGAACTACTATTTGATTGAAATAAAGATACACTAAAGAAAGAGACAGGTCTTACCAGATAATTTAGTTTGTGTCATATTTTAATCTCCAGAGCAAGCAACTAATTGTGTAAACTCAGTGGCTGCAGACACAGGAGTCTCAATTCGTTCTTTTAAAATTACACCACCTATGAAATCAATATTGATTATGTGTGTAAGATTAAAAAACAGGATATAATCTTAGATGATATTAGAAATATGTTATTTATATTATCAATTTATTCTCTGATCAAAATCACTTCTAGCGTGCCCGCTAGAGTTAAGTAACTTAATGTAATTTTTCTTTATGTGTGTAAGAAATAGAGATCTACTAGACTTTTTTAAAGCAAAAATCTATATTAAAATACACCAAAACTGCTGCTAAAATACACAAAGTTCATACTTTTTTATCTAAATAAAATAAATTAAAAACAAACCTCTGTTCAGTTCCACTTTCTAATATGTGTGGTCAACATGACTTTTTCTTGCATAGCTGTGTTCCCAAGTGAATATAATTTCTGTAATAAAAAAAAATCTAATGAAGAATAGAGGTATTCCAAAACACAACATAAAGTGAAGATTCATATCATTTTAATTATATTATCTAAAGGCAATAGCAGATTAAACCAGCCTTACCAGTATTGCTTGAAGAGGGTAGGCTGATTGAGAGCCCATCATCAATAAACAATGACGGATATGCATCACCCAAAAGTCATGATTTTGGAGTGATGAATCTTGGTACAACGTGTTTGCTACAAATGATACTTCTGCCTGGATTAAAATTTTCAGTATCACACACAGCACTAAGATATTGTAAACACTTGAAGAATCTTTTCTCGTTCACTAGAATCTTATAAAAAATAGCGTCCTGTTCGTACTTCAACAATGCGTGTAACACAACCATAACACACCAATTTCTTAGGCATCTTCTACAAATAAAAATACTTCGAAAAATGGAGAGTTTATATTACAAATAAAGCGAAGACGGTAAGCACAAAATAGACTTTACTCAATCACTTGTAATTTCCTGATATGTACGTACATACTTTAGTCTTCTTCTTCTTTTATTAATGGCATACCTGCACATTTCACACAATTTTGCCAATGTGAAATGAATAAATTAATTCCAACATGTAAAATGAATTAAAGATTGATTAAAACATTACTATCTTTACTCTTTGTTGCAATGACAGTTTCTGTCAGGTGTCATGTCTCCATCTACTGACAGGGGTGAGGGGCGTGAGGAAATGTCATACATCACTGGACCCCTACGCGATTGGTTTATTGTATGGAGTTGACGGGCCGTGAATACCATACAGAGAGCTACCTAAGCCTCCTTAGCGAGGCAATACCTTATAGAAAACCATAGCAAATAAAATCCAACCCTTCATAATCATTTAATTTGCTATAACTTAAATTATCTTAATACTAGGGGAATAAATAAACCCAGAGGTTGTATCGTTTAATTTTAAGCTTTAACCACATTCATTTAACTAAACTTACTTATTATATATAATTCACTTAAGATCATCTACTATACAACTCGACGAGACGTGCGTCCGTAACAGATACCTAGCATATTTGATACATATCGTGTAAGTATATAGATTATAAACGGATTTTTTATTATAATTATCGTTTTTATGACTTTTGTTGCTGATTAATAAACTCTTAATATTCATTCATTCACCACATCATATTAAAAATATTATTGGGATTTGATGTTGTTTTGTTGTTGTAAGTTCAACAAACAACTAATAGCAAAAAAAGTAACTTGTTGGTATTGTTTTCAGAACTTTTGTTAAATATTATAATAAAAAAATCCTAGACCTACTATGGCATAACTATTTTATTTATAAAAACTATATTTTAATTAATTCAATTGATTTGCATAAATTTAAAGAAAACCTCTGTGCTCACTTTCATTATGTTAGTTTCCATTTTCCTCTATACAAATAAAAAATAAATTTATTCAGAGATTACGTTATATTCATCGAGTTGCGTTTGCATAACTCGAACTAATGAGGAAGTATTTAGAAAAAAACGAAAGTAAAGTAATAGCAAAAGTTGGTTTTACAGGAAACGAATGGACGAAAGACAGTCATTTCCATTCCTTTTAATTAACATATAAAAAAACTGAAATTTGAAAAGTTCAAAACTTAGATATCAATACAAATACGAAAAAGTACAAATAGAATATGAGTTGTTTATTGAGTTTTGAAAACTAATTTACTTTTTAACTTGAAATAAAAGCGGAAAGGTTGTCATGGAGAAATCTAGAACGTTCCGTAGCGACATCTTGTTTAATTTCGGAAACTTATGTTTTTTTTTAATACTTCCTCATTAAATTTCAACTCAATTCTCTTTGGTTTTACCGTCATGAATTGACGTTTAGATCCAATACTTTGTGCTGCCATCTAGTGACATAAATTACTGGTGAAAGTCAAAAACTATGCCAATGGTTCTTAAAACTACGGGGGGGGGGGGGGGGGGGGTGACATTGCAATGAGAAGAATCAGCAAGGGCTGCTTTTTTTCTCTGTTTTATTTTACACAGAGAAGTCTTATTGGAATGTGAAATTAAGTAAAGTTAAATTTACACCATTTGAGCGGGGTCTTACCTCGATTTCCGAATTAATATGCAAAATTTTTGAAATGGACACTATTTCATAATATATTAATGCTATTTTATGTTATTGTATTCGACATTGATATGGTTGAGAGTAGTCTAGATGAGCCTTAATGAAAACTCGCGCACGGAAAAAACCTCAGTGGGTGCACTAGCTGGCACAGAGCATACCACCTTAAAATATTTTTGCTATATAAATTTTGTTTACAATATTGATTTATTTGTGGAATAATACGATCGTTGTGAATTTTACTATCTTTGATTAGCATTTATATAAACAGTGAGTGATAAAATTTTTAAGAGAGAAAACGGAACGTAAGATGCAAATGTCGTCTGTCTTGCTTGTCTTTTAATTTTTTGTCAGACAGAAAGTAGTTGAGGAATCTGGCGCAGTTTTTACTGCATTTGACTTGTTCGTGATTGTGTTGCTTCATTTCAATCAATTAAATAACAAAATGGATAAGAGGAAACTGTCTACAGCTGGTGATAGTTTGTATCAAATACTTCAAGTACCCAAAACTGCAACAGCGGATGATGTCAAAAAGAGCTATAGGAAATTAGCGTTAAAATATCATCCTGATAAAAATCCTAACAATCCTGAGGCTGCTGATAAATTCAAAGAAGTAAATCGTGCCCATACTATTCTTAGTGACGCAACAAAAAGGAATATATATGACAATTACGGATCTCTTGGATTGTACATCGCAGAACAATTCGGCGAAGAAAACGTCAACGCCTATTTTGTTGTCACAAGTACTTGGTGCAAAGCTCTGTTCATCGTCTGTGGAATTTTGACCGGTTGTTACTTCTGTTGCTGCTTATGCTGCTGTTGCAATTGCTGCTGTGGAAAGTGCAAGCCTCGGCCCCCAGAAGAGTCTGGTGACTATCACACCTTAGAACGCGATGACTCGGATGGCGTACAAGCTGTAACTGTGCAACCAGGCGGAGAAGGGCGTCCGAAAGGTGATCAGGCTCCACCCATTGCCATGCCGCCCCCATCAGTACCTGGCGCGTCAGAGAATACTGGCCTCAACACAGGTGGGGTTAATTACGGAATTTCACATTAACATTTACACCTATTCATTCCCAGTATATATTTTCTATTACATAAGGTGCATTATGTTTAATCAAAAGTACTTATTCTAAATGAATATACAATCAATGCCACTTAAAATAACTCTTTGATTTGCGTCAATGTATAATATAGGTAGTTTTAATGCAATTATTGATATTAACACCCTGGAAACTACATGAATAAAAAACTCACTTTCTCATTCAAAGCAAAAATAACACATTGTAATGTTCTTTTTCACCATTTCAAATATTATTTTTTGTTTTTTGTACCATTTATAATAATTTACATTTCTAGAAAAATATAATGAGATTTTAACTCTCAATTTTAAATTTTTTAATTGGTTTGAGTGAAATTTTTGGTTATATTGTGTCATAACATATTTGGAATTAAGTTTTGCTAATTCTAAATATTATTTATGATAAAGATAGGATTTTGATGAAGGCCTGGAGGATGGTAAAAGTATAAATTCATTTTATCATAATTTTGAACAAGTCCAGTTTTTAATCAAAAACCTAAATTGACAACAAATAGTATTATTTTATTACTTTACAGAGGTTATTATGTTCTTTTATTTACTTAGAAAATAAAGGTCCAATATTAATTTTATAATAAAACTTAGGTTTAAAGGTAAAAGGATTTCACATTGATTTTATCATTATACGAAATAAGTTTAAGTGTTTGCACCAAAAGGATTTTTTAGGATTATGATAAAATTAAGTTTTTATTTTATTAACCTCCAGATCAAAATTCTGTCTTAATCATAATCCTGCAACATATATAACTCAATATTCCAATTAGCCATTCATAAAAAATGTTTACAATCCATTTATCGGTTGCCGAATATTGTACGTAGAGTGTTTTTGTGTTGTTAGAACTGCAACAAGTTGCCTAATGAGTTACAGTATATGGCTATTCTGTAGCTTACTTATAATATCAAATCTAGCCTTTATACTTATAAATTTATTCTCAAAGAAGTATTTTTTAAAAGCAATTTTGTTGCAAGACAATATAAATTTCAAGTTAAATTAATATTGCTAAATAATATTGTCTTTAATACTACTTAAATAATATTACAAAATGTGAATTTTTGTTCCTATGCCTTAGTTTTTACTTTATCATTAATTCATAAAAAGTGATATTTTTTTTTAATCAACTGGAATGTTTTCATGTATTTATGCCTTAAAAATAATATCTACTATCATGTGATATATAAAGCATAACATCAAAAATTAATTGAAGTTTCTCTAACAAAACTAAAAAATGTATTAGTCACTTTTTTAATCTTATCTACAGTAAAATGTTATGTAGTTTATCTGTTACTTAGAATTCTTATCATGTAAACAGTACATAATTGTTAATTTTGGATGGGTATCATTGGTGTTAGTCCTCTATACCAAGATTGAGATTGGCAGAAAAATAATACTATTGGCAATTATTCAAAATCAATCTTAAACCTGACACAAACAATATGGACAAAAATTATAATACATTAAACAGGAACCATCAAAACTAATTTTAATTTAAATATCACATTCCAAATGTGTCTTAATAATGGTAGTCAGACACCACTTAATTTCGATTTAATGTGATCTCATCATCATCATCATCATGGTAGTATTGAGTTCACTGATTCTTGGCTAAATACTAATTTTGCTTAGTACACATAGCATGTCACACTAACACAATATGTCAAATTTCCTCAATAGATTTTGAACTTTACAATGCATTGAGGTTAAATTCAAGTGGAGAAATTTGTCAGTTTTGTATAGTCTGATGTGCTGTACCCCAACTGTATGTTCAACAGTACATCAGGTTACAATCGTAAACCCAATCAATTATAGATCTTAATACATTGGTAGTTATGTTCAAAACTGCAAAAATATGGCCTTTTCTAGTGATCTGGTGTCCTGCTGTATGTGTACATGTTATATATAATTATTCATGACAGTAAAGTATAAGAAACAAATTTAATTGCCTTAACAACAGTAGAATAGGTTATCTGAAGCTGTGAAATTTTCAACAATTAAGTGTAAAGAATGATTAATATTATGTTAAAAACCGATTTGAAAATTTGACATTTGTGGTAACTTGATGCATTGTTGTTTATATTTAAGCATGTAAGTATTTTATTTGTGCACTGTATCTCGGTTGTTTTTCAGTATTGAGTATTATCTATTATTATATTAGTAGATGCTAAATATTTTATTATTTTCAGTTAGCTTTATAAAATTAGAATTATTGACCAAATTAAACTTATGAGATAATTGTTAGGTATGTAAGAGTACTTTGTGAATTCTTCGATACAACACCTCAAATAGAATGCTAGCTTTTATTTGTAGCCCATTTGTTGTTCATATACTACAAATAAGTGAATATTGCTAGGATTAATAATGTTAAAACGGGATTGTCTTGTCCACTAAAGTTATTTGCCTATTAGTTGATGGCAACAGATTTGTCAGTAAATTAAATAGTGAAAAATAGTATTAACAGTGACTTTGCCATGAACTATACGCTTTTATATCCACTCTCCGCATGGCAAAAGGCTCGTGTTTAGGCTTCCTGATCTAATATAATCTATTTAATAGTGCTATATATTGAATAATAGCATTATTAATACATGTATTTCTTATAAATCGGGTAGATTTACCATAATAAGTATAATATCAAAGAGTTTCAACATCACATAACAGTGTAATATAAATGTGTTTTACTTAATATTCTCGTTGAACACTACTGAAATGCACTCATCTTTAAACCTAGTTTTTGCATCGAAAACATTTGCATAAACAAACATTAACTATATAAAAATTCATAGCTTCCAATTTGTTATTTAAAGCGAAAAGAAATGCTTTATAATAGGATCGTTGCGGGCAGCTGGGCATGAGTCAGCTTACCACAAGCGCTGTGCTGACCACAACGGCCCGGGCAGCTATGAAATTTATATTGCTATATGCTCAATAAGAGCTTCTATATACAGACATGCACACGTTCCAGGGTTGCCAGATGGACTAAAATTTCTGGGCAATAACTCGAAAAAGTCAGGATTTTGGAATATAGTACAAAAAAAATTTTTTTTTGCTGCTGCTTAGCCGATACCGAGCTTGATTTAATGATTTCATTTATTCTCAATACTCTGGATATCCTCCGGGATTCGTCTTAATTTTAGGACAATTTAGACGAATCCCTACTGTCTGGCAACTCTTTTACGGACTTATACCATCTCCCTATGTGCTAAACAATTCCTGTCTTTCCAACTTTTCCTTTCCTTTCCTTCAGTCATGATTTTTATTTTCTTTTATTTCATTTCCTGAAATAGCCCCTCCTCTACAAAATTTATAATATATCCTTTTTGTTTGGGTGTGGTTAACCCCTCCCCCTGAAATAAGACTCAAGTTTTTCCCTAACATGAAGAAAAACCAGTTTTCGCAAACGTGAACGTCAGATAGTTAAATAATTCCCTCGCACTGCTACCACTTAGTATAAAGAGAAAAAGCAAAAGCATACAAAGCTCTCATTAGATTCATGCTTTAAAAGTGAAGTCCATTATTTGATTTTAACATTATTTTCTTATTTCTTTTTAGATGAGCCAGTCACCCGCTATTAACATTTAGTTGGTTCCTTCTAAGGCTTCGCAGCAAAACTATGAACAAGATAAATATATAGAGATTTCCATTAATAGTAATATTCATATTTGTTAAGTTATTCACGATCACCTTTAGGCTACCTAATGCACCAAATTTGCAACTCAAGGCCTAGTTTATATTGTGGTAGGGTAGGACAAATAATGCATTAGGACCATTATGTCTTCGCAACCACGTTAAGATTTTAAAATATTTATTCGTATATCAATTACTGCAGTAAACTGTTACTGTTACTACTGTTCTCTGAGATAATGCCAAACCATTTTTACCACAACAGTGACTTTGATTTAATAATATGTGTGCAGCAATTTTGAGGATTAAATATTTTAGCGGGTTATAAAATGTGTTGATTCCGGATATTAAGTGCGTATATCATACAAATGCAATTTACCGTTCCAACACATGTGAATGAATTACAAAAGAATAAACACTTAGAATTTTTGACCCAAAACTAAGCGTCGTGACCGCTAAGCCCAATAGATCAAAAACTAAATGAGCTTAAAGCTCTCAAATATCCTCGATTAACCATTTTGTAAAAAGTTCGTTCTGGTTTTAAATTAATCTTAAGTTCAACGATTGTGTAACCAGTCGGTTTTGTCGGTCCGCTTTTGTAGAAAATTTTGCACATGTGCTAAGCTTGAATCTTGTCCAGGCTTAATACGAAAACAGCAGCAGATCGATGAAAACAGCCGTTTTCCAAATCATTTAGGTCTTTATTTCAAAATCATTTATGGTGAGCCCACCATAAATGATTTTGGAATAGATTTCTATTCTGAAAAATAATGACAGTCAAATTATATGTTTTCATTTATAAATATCCGATACATTATAATGGCAAATAAGAAAATATAAGCCAAATCACGAGTGATGAGCCCTGAGCGAAAATGCAATCGAACCACCACTCAGCACGTCTTAGACAAATATCTATTTGACTTCCACGCATTGAAGATCAGTGTTTGTCACTCACACTTGGGACGGAAGGAGACAGGAACATTGATTTCTAAACACCTAATAATTATTAAATTCCTAATTTGGAAACGAGGAGTTTCACAGTGACACAGTCTCTTCTAAAAATATGTATACTTTTTTCATCTGTCTTTATTGCATGTACCTGTGCAATGGATGGAAAATGGAGATGCTCAACTATATAACTTATAATGAATATCGCATCGAGCATTACATTATTTTTATTTACTGTATTTATTTTCTTATCTTTCTAATATTGTTAGAGATTCCAAATTATTCTATTACATAAGATGAACTTCTATGAAGCCGTCGTTATTTCGTCTTAAATTATTGTAATTTTTTTGTAGAAATATACA